TATATATATTTTATTTTTAAGTGATCTCTACAGCCAACGTGTGGCTTGAACTCATGACCCTGAGCTCAAGAATCACAGGCTCTACCCACTGAGCCAGGCTGGCGCCCCTAAATGGTTACTTATCATTGTACTTGGCTAAGTGGGTAGTAAGTATTTCCTCGTGATAGTCCCGCAGTAAACTGGGACCAAGCCTGTAGCACACAGTAGGTGCTCAGACCACCTGCTGGTTAGAGGGGGCTGTGTCTTGCCGTTCTGGGAGGGCAGTGGTGGTGCCAGCTTGCCTGTTCTGGCCACGTGCCAGGCCCCATTTCTTAGGGAACAGGAAGTAACTTTAGGGAATAGGAAGTAACCTCCTCAGGTGATGATTAACTGCTCAACCATTGTCTTCACTGGCCTCTGGTCTGGCAGGAAGACATGGATCCTCTCCTGCCTCAGCCTGCCACTTTGGGGGTCCCTCCCCACCTTCTGGGAGCACGCTGTCCCCAGCTTTCATCAAACCTTCATCATTTCCTAGCTGCTGAATGTAGCTCAATGAGGTCTGGGCAGGGAGTCTGGTCTTCTGCCCTGGCTCAAGATCTGGGGGAAATGTATGCACAGAATCAGGAGGGCTTTGGAAAGGGGGACCTGCAGACATGACATTTGAGCCCCTGGACTCCATGTCTGACCTCAGGCAAGGCGCGCCCCCCTCTGGGCCTCAGTCTCTCTACCTACCTAATTCAGGCCCCTCCTCACCATTTTCCTCATTCCTTGTTCAACTTCCACACTTGTCTCCTGTGTGATTTAGCAAATATAAGATATAGGACACCCCTTAGATCTGAATTTTTTATTTTATTTTTTAAGATTTTATTTATTTATTTGACAGAGAGAGACACAGCGAGAGAGGGAATACAAGCAGGGGGAGTGGGAGAGGGAGAAGCAGGCTTCCCGCCAAGCAGGGAGCCCGATGCAGGGCTCAATCCCAGGACCCTGGGATCATGACCTGAGCCGAAGGCAGACACTTAATGACTGAGCCACCCAGGTGCCCCTAGATCTGAATTTTTGATAAAGAAATATTTTAATGGTATCTATATAACATTGAGTTACAATTTTAACCATTTTAAAGAACTATGAATCAGGTATTTCTATTTGATGATATTTATTATTAATTATATTTTTACTGTTGTAAAATATACATAACATAAAATTTACCCTTTCAACCATTTTTAAGTGCACAGCTCAGTGGCATGAAGCACACTCACACTGTTCTGCAACCACCCCCACCCTCTGTCTCCAGAACTTTCTATCTCCCCAAACTGAGACTCTGTCCCCATGAAGCACGGACTCCCCACCCCCTGCCCCAGCCCTGGCTCCCACCCTCTCCTCTCTGTCTCTGTGGACAGGACTCCTCTGGGGACCTCCTGGGAGTGGGGTCCTGCGGGATGTGTCCTGCTGTGTCTGGCTTATTTCATTGAGCATAATGTCTTCAAGGTTCATGCATGTTGTTGGATGTGTAACAAATAATTTTCTAGTATAGGCATGTCACAAATATTGCATGAGACAAACAGAACATACTTATACTGGAAAGGTATTTGTTGTGTATCTGCAATTCTGATTTAACTGGGCACTCTGAATTTTATCTGACAATTCTACCTTCTAGTCCTTCTTAGCCCAGGAAATCATTTTTAGACACAGCTTTGTTGATACATAATTTACATACCCTAAATTTCACCTGTTTTAAGGATACAATTCAATGAATTTCATTGTATATTTGCAAAGTAGTAAGACCATCACCACAATCTAGAACATTTCCATCATCCCAAAAAGAAACCTCATACCCCTTTGTATGAAATTATAAATTTAACTCTGGATTCCTGGGCGCCTGGGTGGCTCAGATGGTTAAGCGTCTGCCTTCAGCTCAGGTCGTGATCCCAGGGTCCTGGGATCGAGTCCCGCATCGGGCTCCCTGCTCCTTGGGAGCCTGCTTCTCTCTCTCTCTCATGAATAAATAAATAAAATCTTCAAAAAAAAAAAATTTAACTCTGGATTTCTACCCCTAGCTCAAGGCAACTACTTTCTGTCTTGAAAGATTTGCCTTTTTTGGACATTCCATCAAATGGCCTATGATGTTGGAGAATATGTGACCTTTTGTCTGGCTTATTTCACTGAGTATAGTGTGTCTGAGGCTCATCCAGGTTGTAGTGTGTGTCGGTGCTGCTTTTCTTTTCAGTGCTGAATAGTGTTCCTTGTAAGGATATAGCACATTGGTTTTATCCATTCACCTGTTGATGGACACTTGGGTCTTTCCACTTTTTGGTTGTTGTGAATCATGCTGTGATGACTATTAGTGTACAGATATTTGTGGGGAATGTGTTTTCATTTCCCTTGGGTAGATACCTAGGGATGGAATCGGTGGGTCATGTGGATAAGTCTATGTTTAACTTTTTTTTTTTTTAAGATTTTATTTATTTATTTGACAGAAAGTAAGAGACCACAAGCAGGGGGAGCAGCAGAGGCAGAGGGAGAAGCAGGCTCCCTGCTGAGCAGGGAGCCCGATGAGGGACTCAATCCCAGGACACCAGGATCATGACCTGAACTGAAGTCAGACGCTTAACCGTCTGAGCCTCCCAGGCGTCCCTATGTTTAACTTTTAAACAAAAGTCTTTTTGAGCTATATTTCACGTGCATAAGGATGTATCTTGAGACTAAAGTATTATCTTTGTACCCTGTGATCAAATCTCTCCAGTGTCTTCCCAGGAAGCTAAAGTAAAAGCCAAACTTCTCACACATGTTCACAAGGCACTAGGATAGGTCCTCCATGGACCCCTATAGCCTTACCTGTCTGCCCCACTCACTTGCTCCATCCTGTCTAGCTTAGACGTTTGCATTTGCTATCCCCTTCGCCCTGAGTGCCTTCTCTGTATCCACTTCACTCTATTGGCCAATCTCTATTAACCCTGCGAGTCTCCAGTTAAACTACATCCTCCAGAAAGCCCTTCCTGGTCCCTCCCCCACTACTCAGCATTTTCTTAAGCACTCTGGCTCCTTTACTTCGAGTTCCTACCAAGAGTCCTCCTTAGAACGAAATTAACAGAGCAGGTAACAGCATCTAGTGCTCCCAGTATTTCTGACGGCCAGGCACAGTTTACAGCGCTTTAGGGGTGATGAAGTCACTCAACTTTTACGCCCCCCTAAGATTGGTACCGTTACGAATCCCATTTTATTTTATTTTTTTAAGATTTTATTTATTTATTTGAGAGAGCAAGAATGAGAGAGAGAGAGAGCACATGAGAGGGGAAAGGTCAGAGGGAGAAGCAGACTCCCTGCTGAGCAGGGAGCCCGACGTGGGACTCGATCCCGGGACTCCAGGATCATGACCTGAGCTGAAGGCAGTCGCTTAACCAACTGAGCTACCCAGGCACCCACGAATCCCATTTTAGAGGTGGGTAGACTAAGGCACAGAGGCTAAAGAATTCGGCCACGGGGTGCGAAACACATTTTTCTTGAAGGAACAGTCATATCGGGTATCTTGCGGATCCCGCACCCGGTGCTCAAAACCTTTCCGTGAGTGAAGAAGTGAGTCCTCGGTGCACTCTGTGGCTGTTTATCCCAAGAACGCCCCACGCCCCGCCCCTTCCCCGAGCCCCACCCCTCGGGCCGGCAACGGCGCGTCCCTATTTTGAGTTGAACCTCTAGCACATTATCCAATGGCGAAGAGCTGCTTAAACCCCGCCCCCCGTTGTAGCCAATGCCCGCTCCTTACCTTGAGGCCTTCTGGAGTGGTAGCCAATGGCCTGCGGCTCTCTGTTCAGCCCCGGCTCCGGGGAGCGGGACGCCTTCGGTGCCCCGCCCCCTACGTGGATTAGGCCTTCTTTCGGTGGCAGCCAATAGCCTGCCTCCTACTTAAAGCCCTCCTTCTGTGGAGGTTCATGGCCCTCCCCTCTGCCCTAGGCCCCGCCCCGAAGAAGCCTGGCGACCCGCCTAACCACTCCCTGAAAGTCTCCGTTTCCCTCCTCCCATCTTTCCCCTTTCACCTCCCATAACCTACGCCCCGCTCCCATTAGGCCTCTGGGTCACGCCCCTTGGCTCTACCCGTTACCCAATCCCGTTAACTTGCTCAGCTCCAACCCCTATTCTCATTGGTCCCCCTGCTCCTCTATCCCCGCACGTGGTCCTGAGCGACGGCGTCTCCCGCCCGTGAAGGCCGGAGGGCGGGACTTCCGGGGGCGCGCAGTCCAATAAGCACGCGCCGGCTCTCTGCCCAGGCGGTCGCCCCCGCCCCCTCGGCGCCCCTCTCCCGCCCCCGGCTTCGCCTCCCGCTGCCGCCGCCGCAGCCGCTGCCGCTGCCGCCGACGCCGCCGCTGCTGCCGCCGCTTTCTGCGGCCTGGGCCTCCCGCCGCCAGCATGCCGCATGCCTTCAAGCCCGGGGACTTGGTGTTCGCCAAGATGAAGGGCTACCCGCACTGGCCGGCCCGGGTGAGGCCGCGCGGGAGATGGGCCAGGCGGGGGGGTGGGGCAGTAGGGGCCCGGGCCTGAGGGACTCGCGCGCCGGGGGTCGGGGGGGTTCCCCGAACCCCAGGGACCCGCACAACAGGGGTCTGGGGGTCCCTGGGCCTGAGGGACCCGTGCGCCGGGGGTCGGGGGGGGGTCCCCGAACCTCGGTCGGGGACCCGCACAACAGGGGTCTGGGGGGTCCCTGGGCCTGAGGGATTCGCGCGCGGGGGGTCTGGGGGCTCCGGGTCTGAGCGACCCGCGCAACGGGGGCTTGGAGGGGGTCCCCGGGCCTGAGGGAGCTCGCGCCGGGGGCCTGGGGGTCCTGGGGCCTGAGGGACCCCACGCCGGGGGTCTGGGGGTCCCGGCGCCTGAGGGACCCCGCACCGGGTCTGAGGGCCCCCGGGCCTAAGGGAGCCCGCGCGGGGATCTGGGGGTCCCGGCGCCTGAGGGACGCTGCACCGGAGTCTGAGTGTCCCGGGCCTGAGGGAGCCCGCGCGGGGTTCTGGGGGTCCCGTGGTTTGAGGGACCCCGCCCCGGGGGCCTGGGGGTCCCAGTGCCTGAGGGAGCCCGCGTCGTGGGTCTGGGGGTCCCCCGGCCTGAGGGAGCCCGTGCCGGGCGTCTGGGGGTCCCGGGGCCTGAGGGAGGCCGCGCCGGGGGGTGTGGGGGCCGCCGGGAGGCTCAGAGCCAAGGGAGGTGGGGTTTCGGGGACCTGGGGCCTGAGGGGGCAGGGTTCAAGTTTGAAGGAGTTGGTGGTGTGAGGAGAGCTGAGGAACACGGGGTTTAAGGAGAGGAATCCCAGTGACGTGAAGGGGGTGCCCGGACTGAAGATCTGAAGATCTCATTGTGCGGCCCCAGGCCATGTGTGAGGGGGGGCTAGAGATGAGGGATGCAGTAAGGGAGAAGGGTTGAGGGTTAAGGCTGAGGGGGGCTGAGGGAGGCTAGGGCTGGAAATGGGGCCGGGGGCTGTGTTCACAGGGTCACGAGCTGGGAGGACTCATCTGATAATGTGGGGTGTCAGGGATCAGAGCTTGGAATGAGACTTGTTTAAGGGATCCTGGGGGCTGGTGCCCTGTGAGGAGCCCCTCCACACTCCTCTGGCAGAGGAGGCTGGCTGGGGTGTGAGGTTGAGGGGGATCTTGGGGTGGTCCTCCCTGATACTTGAATCAGATACCTTTTCAGGCTCAAGCCCAAGAGAGAGAGCATCTGAGGGGAGGGGTTGAGCCAAGGGGACTTTGGGGATCCCGTGTAGAAGTGGAGATCCAGGGGACCCAGAGGGTCCGACGGGTGCAGGGCGTCCTGAGTCTGGAAGTCGCAGAGTGCCGTTCCAGGCACTATCCAGGGCAGGCCAAGTGTGGAGGAGGGACCTGGATGTTGTCATCCCCAGGTCTTAGGGATAAAGTTGCCCCAGAACCTAGGCTGGTGGAATATGCATGACAGGATTGAAGGAATTTGGGGGGTGGGGGGTGAGAGGCCCAGGCAGCAGCAGGGGGCATGGGAAGGATGAGGCTGGAACTGAAGCAGCACAGGAGTTGCCCAGGCAGTATTGTGAGATGGCTGGAGATTTCAGCCTTGCTCCCTGCTTTGGACTCCCGTCAGGGTGGGAGTAAGTAGAAGGGCATCACGCAGAGCTGGGGGTCTGGGTGCGGAGAGGCTGCCACAGGAGGCCAGGAAGGGACACTGGCTAGGCTGTCCTGGGAACAGTTGGAGCTGGTGCTGCCGCTAGGACATCTGAGCCTCAGGCTCAGAGGCGGGTCCTCGGTGAGGCCAGAGCAGAAGCCAGGCCTGGAGGCGTGGCAGGCTAGTTCTCAGGGAGATGAAGTTTGGGGAAGCTTCTGTGCAGGAGTGGGATGCTTGGGATGGATGCCAGATGCCCAGGGACCAAGGACTTTGAAAAGTGGCCCAGAGAACTGGGGAAGGTAGCTGGGTGAGGGGTGGCAGGGAAGGTTCCAGTAACCCCCAGGCATAGTAGAGGATGGGAAGGGATTAATGGGGACCAGAAAACTCACTTTAACCTGATGTGGTCGGGCTTATTTTCTTGGGGGGACTCTAGAGCCATGAAACTTTACAGGCACTTCCCTACTTTCCAGAGTACCAGCTTCTCTCTCTCCTCTGTCCCCCCTCCTGCCAGCTCTGTAAGCCCGGAACATTTCCAAGCACCTGATTGGAAGTGAAGGGGCTGCTAGCCTCCTGTGGGGAGGTGACTGACAGCTGCCGGGGCCCATGGGCCTGTAGGGAGAGGGTGGGACTTCCTGGATGCTCGGGGCCTGTCTCCTGCAGCCCACCCCCCACCCTCTGCATCCTTGGAGCTGCCAGCTGCAGCCTCTGGGAGACCCACCCCCGACCACCGATCACCTCTTTGCGGGAGGGGTCCCGTGGGAGGGTCCTGGGAATGTAGAGAAACTGAGCTTGGCCCCATCTCCTGGAGCTTTGCTCAGGTGAAGCACCTACCCTGGAGGCAGAGAGAACACTCTGGGGGGAGGGGACAGGTACGCACAGAGGGGGGTTCCTAGAAGAATGCAGATGCCAAACTGGAAGGTGATGTGTCTCCCTCAGTCGAAGGCTCCTTTCCTCCCAGCATGCTTACCTCAAGTAACTTAGCTGGTTTCTTGGTGATTTCCTGGGTCAGTGGGTGAAAGTGTCCCCCAGCCACCCCCTGACCTGCCTCTCACTGCAGATCGATGACATCGCTGACGGTGCCGTGAAGCCCCCGCCCAACAAGTACCCCATTTTCTTCTTTGGTACACACGAAACGTAAGTGTCTGCAGGTGGGGCTTGATTTTCCCACCTGGTGCCTCCTGGGGCCTCCTGGGTGGCCTGACTCACCTGGGACTGGCCCCATGGTTCCTTTCTCCAGAGCCTTCCTGGGACCCAAGGACTTGTTTCCTTACGACAAATGTAAAGATAAGTACGGGAAACCCAACAAGAGGAAAGGCTTCAATGAGGGATTGTGGGAGATCCAGAACAATCCCCACGCCAGCTACAGTGCTCCTCTGGTGAGTACCTGGGGATGGAGAATGACTGGTGTGGTGTCTGTGGAGCCCAAGTCATGCCTGGTGCGTGCACGAATTGGGCGCCACAGGTGGTCTTAGCTTGTCTCATAGGAAAGGAGCAAGGGCTCATCCCCCCTTGGCACTGCTGACTGTTCTCTTTCGGGGTGTCCTGGGGCGTCCTGGGCACAGTGGGGTGAGTAGCATCCCTGGCCTCACCCGCTCCATGCCTGCAGCGCCCCACCCCCCCCCGTCCCCGAAGTCATGACAACTATACACGTCTGCAGACGTTGACGAGTACCCCTGGGGTCGTGGAGGGCTAGAGGACCACCCCTGGTGAAACCCAGTGCTCTGCAGTTAGCTTGGATTTATAATAGCGTTATTACAGCTCTTAAAAAGTCTTTTGTGTTCTCAGAAAAAAAACTTCGTTCTGTCAGTAACACACCTCCCTTCCCCCGTTATTGTCAGATTTTAGGCTTGAGAAAAGGCTGTGGTTAATCGATGTGAGAGTTCTTGCTTAGATGGAAAAAAGTGCCAAGAATCACAGAGATGACATCTCAGTGGCAAATCAGTGTCAGGAAATGTTCAGGGAAAGAAGGAATTCAGAAGAGTCGAAGTGAAATTCATGGAAAGCCTTGGAAAGCTGCAGAAAGGTGGCAGAGAGCTACCTTGGTCTGGGCATTTTGGGAAGAGACGCAGATGAGGGGAGGCTGGGCTGGGGTTCTCTGCTCTGCTTTCAGCCACCATTTTTTGGATTTCTGCAGGAGGCACAGGGACGCAGAGTAGTCTGGCTTCAGGAGGGGTGGGCGTGAGGTTGGCTGGGAGGCCAAGCAAACTACAGGGGGCAGAGCGTCCTTGCTGGAGAAGAGGGCCTGCGGCCTGGTCTGTGGGGAGGGACGCAGGAGGCGGAGAGGGTCTGGTGTGTGTGAGCTCAGCCACCACTGATCCGGTAGGCACTGCGTATTGAGGGACCAGTAGTCCAAGATGGAGCAGACCCACTTCTGGCGTCCTGGGAGCTCACAGTCCAGAATTCAAAGTTTGCTCACCAGATGTCTCTTGAGCACTGAGGGTTTGGCACCCCCTTCTCAGGGGGCCAGGCTCACATTTAGTGGATTTTGGTGGTGGTCTGCTTTTACCTCCTCAGGTGGGTCTAGGAGAAGGAGGTTCCCCCTCTGCTGCCCACCGTGTCTCCCGGCTTCGTGGCTGAATGGGTCGGAAGGTCTTCAAGACAGTTGGGTTCTGTGTGATCCTTTTCTGGTCCCAGCTCAAGTGCTATTGGTTACGTCCTAAGCTTATTACTGCTGGTGAATCATCATTTAAAATTTATTGCACACCCACGGCTTGCTAAGTGCTGTGTAGATGCCTGCCCTCGAGGAAATAAACTCAAAAATGGTACAACCTTGACATTAAACTGGCCCTACACAGACTCCCCAGGTTGAGAAGTAGCTGTTAAGTCTGAGAGCTTGTCTTGCTCTTTGGTTCTCTAACGAGCCTATGGCTCCACACTGAAGGTCTGTTTAAGATGCAGATTCATGGGCCCAACGCATGGAAGTTTGGGTTTCAGGAGCTCAGGCCGGGGACCCCTGAGGTGTTCCTTAGCACACGTCAGCCTAGATGTTTCTGATGGAGCCAGGCCACAGGCACGCTTTTAGAAGCAGCTCTGTGTGGGTACCGGAGCGGTCTCTTTGTTCAGCCTTCAGGTTTTTTGTTTCTCTTTCCATCTTGAATGGGAATGCAGATTCGCGGTGCAAATTGAAAAGATACGAAGGCGCGTAGGGAGAGTGGGCAGTCGGCCCTGCCTCCCGGTCACTCTGCTGCAATGTCCTGTCAAGATAGCCATAGCTACTCATTTCTTGTACATCCTCTGAGGTTCTGTATTCCTATGAAATCCTACACGGCTTTCCCTTCTAAAGCATAGAATTCTTAATTTTGCTTATTGTTCTCCAAAATATATATATATTTTTAAATTTACTTATTTATTTTGGAGAGTGGGGTGTGGTGGAGAGGGAGAGAGAGAATCCCCAAGCAGACTCTGCACTGAGCGTGGAGCTCAGCTGGGGGCTCGATCTCACGACCTTGAGATCATGACCTGAGCCGAAACCAGGAGGCAGATTCTCAACTGACTGCACCACCCAGGGACCGCCCCCCCCCAATTAACAATATTTTGAGATGCAACACAGATGCTGCTTTACCATGGAACAGGTCCTATTCTCCCAGGTCCTGTAAAGGAAATGGTGTCAGTCTCCTCTGAAATCATTAGCAGGTTATTTCCACCATTTCCTGGCCGTATCACTGTTATCACTTTCTCCGGTTTACTATTAATTTCAGGAGCATGTTGGACGTCTGGGTGGCCTGCCTCTGCTTTAGCTCCATTTACCTGGTTGCCAGAGGCAGAAACTTGCAAGTTTTCCGTGCTGATCTATCCATCATCTTCAGCTTTCCTCCCTAGTCTCCACCCTCAGTGCAATCAGGCTATTGGTTCCCAGTTCCTTCATTTCCTCTTGGACCCTGTCTGCACCTCTCCGACCCTGCGGCCAGTGGCCGCTTTGTTCAGACTCTCCTCCTCCTCTTTCACTGCAGGTGCACCCTTCTTCCAAGAGATTTCCCCAGGCCTTCTGCCAACAGTTGTCTCCACTACATCTGCAGTGATCGTGCTTAAAGAGCTTTCTTAAATTGATCTCTCAAGGACCCTTGGTTGCCTTTATTGGGATTGGTGGCCACAGGTGTGCGACTGTGCATGGGCACAGGGCCTCCTGATGGATTTAACGCTCCATGGCTGCCATCTTGAACTTCTTACCAATTTTATTTTTACTTTTATTTTTTTAGGTTTTATTTATTTATTTTAGAGAG